TGAAGTCAGCAGGATTTTTTCCATTAACTTAAATGAGACTGGGATGTAACCCTTAGTATTTTATTATAGGGAGCCAGTGGCAGTGTATCCATTTACAGCAATAGAAAACCCAATCTTTCTTCGCAAATGTTTTAGTTATAATGGGATGAACACGTTTCTCCCTCATGTGGTGTGATGAGGAGGAACCTTCCTCCCCCAGCAAATCCATTAAAATTGAGGAACAGGAGCTGCGCAGAGAGTAAAGGCAGCAGTTATAGTTGCATCTCTTCTTTCCCTTCACCAGTTCTTGCTCCTCCATGCTTGCAGTGCGAGATGTCTGTATGGCTACGGGAGGACTTGGGAACATGCTAAGTCACGGCGAGGCAGCCTTTGTTTTAGATGACCAGGTCCCTTGTGATTCTCACATCCAATAGTCCACTTCACGTTACGTTTGCAGAATTTAAATGGTGCCTCTGCTTTCTCTGTCCCTTCCTTTTGCTCAGCTTCATGTTCTGGGTTTTACTGAAGCAGGCTGTAAAGGCTTCAGGGCAAGGTTTGTATCCTTGTTCCTTTCTCTAAAATGAAAGGCACAGGTGTGACATTATAGTCAGTGTTTAATACGGGGCTTTCCCACACTGCAGAAAGGGTGTAGCAGTGCAGCTGGTAGGGAACAAGGAGAGAACTGAAGGGAAGGGCGTACGCCAAGAACAGTTGGTTGGTCCTGTGAATCTCAGCTTTGTGTCAGAATGTCACTAGTCTATATGCTATTTTCCATTTTGCCTTGAATGAGAATCACTAAAAAGTATGAAGTATTACTTATTCTTAAGAAGTATCCTTCTATACTATGTCTGAGTTACACTAGGAAATGACCATTTCTACATACTCTATTTTATCACTGCTATGCAATGGTAATTTCTTAAGATGAAATTCTTGGGTCATAGCAGTTGCACTGGCTGCCACCATCATTGTGATTTGTATTTCTTTTAATTGCTGAACTCTCTTACAGCATTTATATAAAATATTCACTGAAGTAAATATATTTTTGTTGCACAGCAATTCATACCGTTTTATACACAGGCAGATAGTGTGAGAGATTGGCTATTTTTTTTGTTTGTTTATCTAGGTATTTAGGATGATGGTTTAATTCATAAGATGTGGAGTGACATGAAGCCATGGATATAATGTGCAATTTTAAACATGCAAGTGAAACTAAAAATGTCATTATACTGTCCCTCATGCCAGCAAGGGATAACTTATTCTCTCTTATTGACATCAGTGGAATTCACTCCCCTGAATGCAATGGAATCGAGCCCAGTATTTAGCCAGGCTTGCAGAATAACCTTTTTTTTGGTATTATGCCCATTGTTAACCCAAGTTATTAGAGTGCTTGTAGGTTTCAGCAGATGCTTTCATTTTTCTACTGGTAAGCTAAATGTATTGCTGTAAGATAACTGTGAAATAAATTCACACATTTGTGTCTTCTACAAGTTCTTTTTTCTGTAGTTAAATATATTGCCTAAAGTTTCTCATTTGAGTAAGAAAGGATTTAATTTGCATCCGTGTTATTAAATAATGTAACAACTATCAGATTGGCTTCTAGACCTGTTAGGCTTTGGACTGGATAGAAAGAAGCATACAAATTCTCTGGTCCTTACTCAGTCCCTGCTTGGGCAAAACTCCCCTCAAAGTCAACAACTCTAAATCTGTACCAGATAAAGTTAACTGGCCACATTTTTGCAGTAAATTGCCACTATAAGGATTGGATTTTAGCTAGAATGTATCCCAGAGCAAGCAATCCACCCAGCCTAAAATCTTAGCTAATTTCACTATAGATTGATTGCAATGAAGGTACCAATGCAGGAATAATGTGTTGTTTTTGTTTCAATTTTGCTCCCAGTTCCAATTGCCTGATCAAAGAACTTGGGTAAGTTTATTGCTTATATTTTTGATTTAAACATTGTAGTATAAATTGCATAAAAATATAATGTGAAAGATAACTTGCTACACAGTTATGGAGTATGTCACGTGCTTTCCTATAAAATGTCATAGCTGTAGTAGATAATAGCCTATTATGTAAAATTGGCTTTTTTCACTTAATCCCTTAGTCTTTATTTATGAAGGCAATGGGAGCTTTGCCTAAGTAAGGACTTCAAAACGTGGCCCTTTGGTTATATTTATAACTGCAAGATCGCAGTCTCAGCAATTGCAGTGAAAGTTTTAGTCCTCAAATTTTACCTATATTACAGTAGGTTTATCAGATAAACCATCTGGATCCTCTGAGGTGTTTAGGTACCCAACTCACACTGATTTCAAAAGGAGCTAGGTGGTAGATACCCCTGGAGAGCCTAAATTCACAATTTAGTATTATAGGTACAGGTACATTGATTAGTAGCCTCTGGATTATATTCTTCTTTCAACTGTACAAATGTAACTCCCAGTAGTGTGAACAGGAGCTGCATTTTTGCACTTGTGGAGTGAAATTAGACAAAATATTCCTTTTATTTATTATTCTAAGTAGAAATCCAATTTTCTTCTTTGTAGGAATCAAACCACAGCTGTTACTTTTCTGTGTCCCTTCCTCCCAACCCCCCCAAGTAACTCATTGTTTTATTATTAATTTGATGACTGCAGCAGTGGTAATAGCCAATACATACCAGTCACACAACTCTCCCAAAATCATGGCTTCTGGCAGCATATCCCAAACTGCGGGGCATGCCCCCTTGGAGATAGCAAAAGGTTTATAGCAGGGTGTGACTAAAGGCAAGGTATTATCTATCAAGTCCACTATTCATGTGCATGTGAATCACATAAATGGTGTGGATGCTCAGCATTGCCCTGAATTTTGGTGACTGAAGTATAGGGTTGGGGGAAGGGGGCGCGAAAATGACTGACTTAACTAAGATGGAGCATAAACTCCCAGACTGCGTCCAGACAAGCACAGACATGTGGTATGTGGTGCTGCAGACCAGTTTGTAGCACCACACACTGCACATGCAGGCATTCCCTGCAGGCAGTGCGGGGTTTTTCTTTTACCCCAGGAGATCCCAGGGTCAAAAAACCCATGCCAAAAAAAGGTGGGGTGGTGCACGTGGCCACTGTGTGCTCTGCCCAAAACTGGAGTCTGGTCGGTCAGAGCCATGCTCTGCCTACTGGCCAGGCTTCCTGCCATGGCTTCAGCCCTAGGAGGCCCCCAGGACCCCAGATAAGGCTGCTGGGGCAAGCAAAGTTGCTTGTCCCAGCCTCCTCTACCCCACCCAGGGTTACCTGCCAGCTGCCAGAGCGTGCGTGGCATGGGCGTTTCCCAGGAACAAGTAGCAGTGGCACAAGGTGACTTAGGAGACCAAGAGTCTATTTATGACTCAATCATGTCTTCATTGTGGAGATATTATCTACATGCCTGAGCTTGCTCTGACCAAGTCCACTGGGTTAGTGCTCCCTGGGGGCATCTGCATGATACGCTTACTGTGGAATTGTCTAATTAGCTCCACAGTAAAGTGTCCCAATCTACACATGTGGTGCTATTAGGCTGGAGTAAACTAACTCACTCCACTGTAGGCTATTATTGCCGGATACAAGTACCATCCTACAGTGGAGCTATTTACTTCAGATCAACGCACATGTACATGGTGACCAGGGCTGGCTGGGGCATGAGGGTGCTAAAGTGAGGGGCTGCCTGCCAACCCTCGTGCCCCAGCCAGTCCCTCGTCAGCATGTTGAGCTGGGTCAGAGCAGCTCCGGGCTGGCAGGCTGACCCCCCTCACCTCTACCAGTTGGGGCTGCACCTCCCTGGCTCAATGTGCTGCAGTTCCAGGCGCACATGTAAATGCTGTGCATGGAAACAATAAACTCAGGCATGAACTACTCTGGAGTTTATTGCATCACATTAACATTCACGTGTAGATGCACCCCTGAGAAGCTGGGCTAATTAGCCTTGGTGGAATGCAGCACTAAAATGGCTATATTGCTTCTGATACCTATACTACTTTGCTCAGAGCTAGACTGAGCATCTCTACATTGCAGTGCATACCCTATGTGACTCTTGGTCATTTAAAAAAGCTAAGGATAGATGTCTCATAAAATGTGGAAGACCCGTACACACTTTTTCATACCTACTGTTATGCACAGGACGAGCTCAGTTGTGCTGAAAAAGGCATTTGCACATGCACCAATGTACTTAGATGACCTAATACTCATTTGCTTTCCTCAAGCTGATGGACGTTGATCTTCCTTTACATAAACCTGACTTTTGATCCCTCTATTTCCAATCTGTAAAAAGAAGATAATAATATTTACTCACTTTCATCAAGTGCATTGTGATGTTCAGATGAAAAAATGCTACTTTGATGTCTCTGTCAGGTCAGGCCTTAATTGGTCTGCTATCTGGTACTGTGTAAACCAGTACAGCCTGTTCCATGGCCGAGTTGTCGACAACTAAACTGGCACCCCCACCTGGGCTAGCTTGGGTGAGGAGGGTGTATGGACACCCAGCACAGCTAAAAACAAGACCCGTTAAAGGGCAGATGAGCATCCTGTGATCCAAAAGCCATCTGTCACTGGAGAGGAGATAGGTGCCATCAGGCCACTTTGCATGAAGAATCACCAATGATGCAGAGCGTCTAAAGTGCTCCAGTGCCTTGGAGCGGCCTCGGGACTGACTTGACTGGATTTGACAGGAACTGGTGTAACTCCCATTCAAATAGATAGCAAGACTTTCATTGATGCAATGGGAATTGGGTTGGAGTCTAATTATAAAGTGAATGTTTTTTTATGATCACTGGACAGTGCTGATGGGATTCACATCGAATGTGGAGATCCAGTACAAGTTCTGCATGTCACTTAAGTCATCTTTTAGAACTGGAACCCTCCTTTGAAGGCTGTGTTGTGGCCCCATTCACAGATATGAGTACACTCAGGATTATTTAATATAGGAGAAACAACTTACATGGAAATTATTAAACATGTTCCCTTCTGAGTTCTAAATGAGCTGCAGGCAATAAATAGGTGTAAAATAATAGAAGATGACAACATTTGAAATTATCAGAGGTGGTCCAAAACATTGCCTTCTTAATCAAGTGAATTAAAATAGCTCCATTTTGAAGAGATTCGGTGACTCTTGTGATGTACTCTGGATCCACTGCACTTTTAAAATAGCAGCGCTGTGTTTGGATAATTATGCAGTAGAAAAACACAATACATGCTATCTCTTCCAGCTACATTCCCTGATGTTGGCTTGGTCCTAAAATTTACATAATCCAGACTTTTTTTTTGTCCTTTGGCCACAATGCTGCTTGAACAGCTGCATTACAATACGAAATAGAAGCATATCACTAAACTGACTGGAGCAAGTTGCTGATTCACGGATGGTTTTTATCTCCATCTTGAAGGGCTTGAATGTGTCACTTGAGCCTTTATATATCAATTCTTGGTATACTGGGTCATTTATTTTAAGATTACTTTAAATTGTTTTTCACTCTCTGACAAGAATCCTATAGTTCAGATCAATTGGAAACTCCCTCTTGTAAAAGGATCATAGTGTATTCACTCTGCACATTTTATAATCTGTCCCAGAAATTGGTACTCTAGTCACAACCCTCCCTAAAGATCTAATAGTAGATTGGTATTTGTAAGTGACTTGGGACTTCATTTGCAATGACATTATGAAGAATTATAATAATTAAGATAACTGTCCAAATAAATTAAAAGGTACATTTTTTGATGCTTATCCACATTTTTTCCTTTACTGTGTTTATAGTAGGCCAAGGTTCACTCTCCAGAACGCCAGGTCAAATCCAGACCAGCTCCATCAAGTCAGTGGAGTTCCTTTGTATTTGTACTGGTGCTAAAGAGAACAAATTATGTCCGTTTCTTGCTACTCCACAACTGTATGCAATTCATGGTTGCAATTCAGCCATATGCAATAGGTCTCTTGGTCATGAATGCAATTATGTAAAGTTCTTTTGCCCTGAATATTATCAGATTTACAGGATTACAGATACATTTACCAGGAGTCCTGCTTTTTAAAGAAATGATTGTAATTTGGAGTGGGGAGGAAGAAATGTTGAACTTTAATAGTCAGGATTTGGAGATTTCTTGAAATAACACAAGTAAAAATAGAAAACAAACATTTGTGCAAACTTTTCCCATGAGTTATGCCTATAAAGTCAGTTGTTTTTACGATAATAACAGTGAAGGAGTCTAATTTGTAAAACATTAGGTCATGTAATACATGACATTGTCTGCTAGATCATTTCATACCATCATGCTATCTTTTTATTTTATAAATAAATCTCACTTTATTTATGTCACTGATTTTCTGCTGCTGGTTAATAAATTTTAAGACAAATGTTTGAGGCCCTTGTTGATGATATCTTGCCTGTTGAAATGTTTATAAATACTTGTTTTATCCGATTATGGTAATGTCTGCATTTTTGAGTCTGAGCTGGGGAATTGTGACTACATATTGGTTTGCGTCAGTATGAGGTTAATAGCCTCTTAGGGACCAGGAGAGAGGTGGGGGTAAAACTGCTTCCTCTTCCAGACATCTGGACGCAGATAGAATCAACAACTCTTATATATGTAAATCAAAAGTTACTGTTCCATATAAAATACTGTCATTCACCGATCTCAGATTAGGAGCAGACGTTACTTGTCCATAAGGCAATAACTTTATGCAAAATATGTAATGCAATCTTCTCACTCTCTTACCTCCTCAGCTAACTTTTTCCATGAACATATAAGTTACACTAATTCAACATTAAGGGCCAGACTGTGTCCTCCATTCCCTAAAACAGCACCATCATGCCTTGGCCAGGTATAATCAGTAGGGGTGTGCGAGATGAACCCTATTTGATTCGGATTAGGATTCAGCCCGAATCAGGGACAGCGATTCAATTCCTTGATTCGGATCACTGTCCCTGATTCAATTCGGCTGAATCTGAATCTGAAGATTCGATGCTGATTCGGAGAATCAGTGTTTCGGACATAGACACAGCTTTAAATGTTTTTTCTACATACCTTGAGGTACCAGCGTGGCTCGTGATTGTTATGATACTGGGGTGGATGGAGCATCCCACAGGAGTGAAGTGGGGACTCCACGTGCTCAGTGGCCAACCTGGAAGTGGACCAGAAGCACTTCCGGTCCACTTCCAAGTGTGCTGGGGGGGCCTCCCTGCATGTTCCCTAGCTCAGCAATCGGCTGCAGGGGGACCCGCAGGTGCCCCCCCGCCCGACCCAGGCCTGCGGGTCCCCCTGCAGCCGATTGCTGAGCTAGGGAACATGCAGGGAGGCCCCCCCAGCACACTTGGAAGTGGACCGGAAGTGCTCCGCGCCTCCCCGCGGTCCCCCTGCCGAGCGTGCTGGGGAGCCCCCCACGCTTCTGTAGGATGCTCCATCTGCCCCAGCATCGCAGCACTCATGAGCCCCTGCTACCTAGAGGTAAGTAGAAAAAAACATATAAAGCTGTGTCTATTTAGAAGCGTTGAATCTCTCTGAATCTATTTGGAGGGTTCTGATTTGATTCAGAGAGATTAAAAGGTCCTCTGATTCAATTTGGATTTGGAGATTCAGCCACAGAATCAGACTGAATCTCCACCAAATTGAATCAGGGACCGAAGCTTCAGCCCTAATAATCATAGCCCATCTGCTTCTTAAGTCACATGGACTATTCATTCCTAACCCAAACTGGGGGTAAGTCACTATAAAAATGTAGAAGGGGTGGGGCCTTGCTTCACTTTCATACAGGTGAACATGGCCAAGGACCTGATCCACAGCCTATTGAGTCATTGGAAATGTTCGTATTGGCTTCACTGAGCTTTGGAGGAGACCCCCAGGTGCAGAGAAGGAAGTGCATTATACTATCCAAACAGTTGGAACAGTTAAGCATGCTCTTCTCATATTTCTGGGAGGGATTCTCCTTCCTTGAGTCAGATTGGCTCTTCACTGTAGGTAGCCACAGGATAGTAGCTGAAGATATCCCAGTAGTGAGAGATTTTGGATTTAAAACCAGAGGCCAGAGAAAACAATTGTATTTTGACAAACATTTACCTAACCTACTAGGTTGGTGCTCATACCGATGTTCAAGCTCTTGCTGATGTTAAGTAGTTCTGCTGCCACATCACTGATCAGAGTAGCATCTCCATAGATAAGTTTGAGATTTGTTTTATATGCCAAGCTTGATTTCGCTTTCAGGTGTTTGCACAGGTAATTTCCACTTCAGAACATAGAACTTCAGGAACTTCTGGTGCCGACAGATGTTATGGGGCACTAGTCCTACAGTCTTAATAAGCTCTGCAGGGAAGCAAAGCTAGGAAGGAATCAAAGTATGGAGTCTAGAGGAACAGCTAAGCAAGGGCTGAGAGCCAACTTCTGGAGATCAGCTAGGGACCCAAAGACTTTTTGACATTAGTAGAAAATGGGCTGTACTCTCCTTCCCAGTACTGTTGTGCTTTCAAATATTGAAGTTTAACTACAGCTCTGAATTTCCCGAGTTTCTTGTAATGGCTGCTTCTTTGATAACTGAAACACTCCTGGTAAAGATTTCTTCCTCTTAGGTTGTTGTTGAGTCCTCTAACCCTCCATTCTACCTTATTAAAGGGATCTGTTTTTTGTTGTTGTTGATCTGGGAGCATCTGCTCTGGTTGGAAACTATGACCCTTCTTCCTAGCTAAGGCAAAGTTCTACCACAGCAAGCATTAAGAAGATGAAAGGAAAGGTCCACTGATAGCTTTTATGTTGCTCTAGTGGTTCTCTGCAATGAGTAGAGGGACTACAA